CCACCCCTCCCCCGGCCTGCCCCTGCTCAGGTTCTTCCCCGGCAGCCCCGCCCAGCGGCCTCTGTCCTGATTCCCACAGCGCCCACTTCTGGGGGCAGGTTCACCCTTTCGGTTTGTAGCTTCACCTGCAGCACCGCTGCCCATCTGTCCTTCAATTTCTGTATTGTTCCCCTTTTTTTTCTTTCAATATATCTGTTGAACGACCCAGGCCGTTGGAAGCTTCAAGGCTCCCATCATCTGGGTTCTGTGAATCCCACACATAGGCTGCAATTCAGCAGGTTCCTCTGTGTTTCTTGCAAAACCTGCCAAAGCCGGGTGCAGTGGCTCATGTCTGTAAAATGGGAGGTCGAGGCAGAAGGATTGCTTGAGCCCAGGAGTTCAAGACCAGCCTGGGCAACATGACGAAACCCCATCTCTTAAAAAAAATTAAACAGTCTTACAAGTTTGGCCCCTTCGTAAGATGGAGTGTGGGGTGGGTTTAGCCCAAAATGAAGGGCCCTGCTGCCTGGCTGTCTCGCTTTCTCTGATGTCGGCAGCAGCTGACGCTTAACACCTGCATCTGTTGTTTATTCACTGGAGGTTTCGAAATGGTGCTGATTTTATCATTTATTATTCATTGTCCACTGGAATGGTTTTATAGAGAGACACATCTCAGGCCAGGCACAGTGGCTTATGCCTGTCATGTCAGCACTTGGGGAGGCCGAAGCGGGCCGATCGCTTGAGCTCAGGAGTTTGAGACCATCGTGGCCAACATGGGGAAACAGCGTCTCTACTGAAAATATAAAAATTAGCCACTTGTGGTGGTGGCGCCTATAGTCCCAGCTACTTGGGAGGCTGAGGCAGGAGAATTGCTTGAGCCTGGGAGGCAACAGCTGCACTGAGCCTCAGTGGTGCCACTGTTCTCCAACCTGGGCGACAGACCGAGACCCCGTCACCCTGAGCCTCAGTCGTGCCACTGTTCTCCAACCTGGGCGACAGAGCGAGACCCCGTCACAAAAACAAAAAAAAAACAGAAACTACCTGTTTTGTTTCAAAGGCTGTGCTGTCTGACAATTAACATCGCTACTCAGCTTTCTTTTGATTAATGTTTGCATGGTACATCATTTTCTACCCTCTTACTTTTAGTCTGTCTCTGTCTTTAAATTTAAAGTGGCTTTCTTGTAGACAGCATGTAGTTGGATTTACTCTTTTAATAAAGAAAAATTTTACTTTAAATTTCAAGACCGGGTCTCACTTGGACACCCAGGCTGGAATGCAGTGGCTGTCATTGCAGCCTCCACCTTTGGGACTCAGGTGATTCTCCCAGCTGAGCCTCCCGAGTGGCTGGGACTACAGGCATACAACACCACACCCAGCTAATTTTTTGTATTTTTATTTTGTTGAGATGGTGTCTCACTATGTTCCACAGGCTGGTCTCAAACGCCTGGGTTCAAGCTATCCACCTGCCTTGGCCTCCCACAATGCTAGGATTGTAAGTGTGAGCCACCGTGCCCAGCCTACTTTTATTTTCTAGAGACAGTGTCCCACCCTGTTGCCCAGGCTAGAGTGCAGTGGTGCAGGTGCAGCCAGAGCTCAGTGTAGATTCAAACTCCTGCACTCAAGCGATCCTCCTGCCTCAGCCTCTTGAGTAGCTGGGATTGGAGATGCCGCCATGCCTGGTGGTTTTGCTCTTTTATCTAATATAGTCATGTACTGCGTAACAGTGTTCGGCCAACAATGGACTGTATCTATGAAGGTGGTCTGATAAGGTTACAGTACAGGTTGAGTATCACTCAAAATGCTTGGAACCAAAAGTGTTTTGGATTTTGGAATATTTGCATTATACTTAACAGTTGTGCATCCCAAATTCAAAAATCTGATAGCTGGGCCTGGTGGCTCATGCCTGTGATCCCAGCA